GAGCTGCGGGAATCGAGGGCTCGCCGCTAGCTCGCCTGGCCCGATCGGGGGGATTGCCACTGAGTCCCAGAACGCCACTCCTCCGGAGTCCTGCAAAATCCCCCTGAACCCTATAAACCCTAAACAGGGAGATTGGGTGACCCCCGCCACCCCATGCTGGGACCTCTGAGCACTGGTCCCAGGTTGTGGCGCCGAGGTATTCTCCGGCATCTCCTGAGAGGACACGACCCGCAGTAGCACGTAAGGATCACAAGTCATAAGTCTGACTGTTTTTGTTGAACGCCTTTTTCCGTCTGATAAGGCGTCCCTCATCCAGACTCCACACTAGTGGAAGGCTTCCTACGCGACCCTCACATTCTCCATACCACCACTCGCTTGCACCCATCATCATCTAGGTCTGATTGGGTTTAGGAAGTTTAGGGCTTAGGGTTATAATATTCGTCGGAAAGATACTCGTAGGAACAGGTTGTCTCTGGGCAGATGCGGAGGAAGCACCTACCCTCATGTCATGCCGGCAGAGCTCCTGGATCTGCGACTCCTTCTTCTTTCCTGATGCAGGTGGTTGCATCAAGATTTTCGATCGGGGACCCTCACATTTCTAGACCGTAGATAATAAGCTAAACTACCCCGAGTTTCTAAGGCTCCCAGAAGTTCGCGATGACGTTGGGGTAGCTAGGCAAGTCCATCAGAGAGATGCACTTTGTGATCTCCACGTGGGATTGTCGGGCGCTTTCATATTCGGGCAGTCCTGCCAGTAAGGCTCCTACATAGGGTGCTGACTATCAAGTGGAATCGGATCGCAGCAGTGGGGTGTGGTAATCGTCACATCCCCGTTCATGGACATCGGCTCGGAAGTCTGTTGCGGCGGCTGAACCTGTTGCTCTCTTCAGCAAGCGAGCAAGACTGGCGCCGGACATGTGCGGCGGGGCGAAAATTTTTGGTCAAAACCCACACGAAACTCCGAAGTCTTCGCCTTGGACCTTCCATCGGTCATCCTTCTCCCGCAATCCCAATCCGATAGCGCCGGGGCCCCCCCTGCAAGCTGAGCGATGCGCGAATTCTTTGCAGCTGCACTGCGGTGCCCTGCACCGAGAAGCACATGCTAAGTGAGGGGAGATTCATCTCAGGACGATCTCAAGCCGCCAGGCATGAGCGCAGGCATTTACGGTATTGTCTTGTCGCTCACAGAGACCGATTCCCGGCTGCTGGCCCGTTTCTTGCCCCAATGAAGCTGCGGCGCATGCCGCCCCCGAACCCCTCCTTTCAACCTCCAAGACACTTTGCCTCGCTCAAGAAATCCTCATAGCAGCTTTAGCCTATGCCTTCTTTCTTAACCGTTCCTGCCCGGAACGCCGAAGAATGTTCAATTCACACCAGAACTCATCATGTGTTCCGCATATCGAGTAGTCTGTCTCAAGGTGGCATCTCTCGGGTGCAAGGCACTGCAGTGCAGCACGCCTTGTACTTGATCTTTGGCAGCTTGAACCTTTGATCAAGCCTTGCATGACACGATCAGTAGCAGGCAGCTGGAAGCCAAAGGCAAATGGTTAGGCTGTGAGAGAAACCTCTTTCGCTAGCCACGCTGGAAGCAGCGCAAGGGTCAGTCTCTGTTGCGCAGTCGCTTTGAACAAACTTGTTGTGCTCCGAATGTGCTCCTCTAAGACTCTAAGATACTCTACATGATTCTAAATGACAGCATCGCAGCAGCAGCTCGCCATTCAAGCACGAAGGAGATGCTCTTGTGGCTTCTGCAAAGGATCGATCTGCTACAGAAATGTGTGTTCTGCTCCTCCAGACAGCACCACCGGCACAGCCCTACCCTCCCTTTCCACTGGTGAAACCAAGTCGCTGCAGTTTGTACTTTTGAGACACCGCAGCCAAGCAAAGCTGCACCACCTGCACACAGGCCGCCATGTGAACCCAGCTCGAGGTCGGTACGCAGCACATCTTCGTAGTGTGGCAAACGTGAAATTGCCAATTACATCTCTGCAGTCGAATTGGCGAGCGGCAAGCTGACACAAATCGAATTACTGCGCCTGTTCTCGGAAAGCCGGCTCCGCCGAACATTCTTCCACGACCTGTCATGACACCAAGGGACCGAGCCCAGTCCGACAAAAACGCTGCCGGCTTGGCCATCGCCGGAGACAAAGGCATGACTGTCGCAGTAGGACAGTAGGATGCAGTAGAGGCTCTCTTCTCCTGGCCTTTGGATTCGCGACCACATCGTAGGTCACACAAGGCTCGCCTTTCTTGTCGAAGTCCTGCGGTGCGAAGCGCTTATGAAAAAAAGAAGCTGCAAGCGCTTGCTTTACCGGTTAGAGGCCCTCCCCTTAGCCTGCCTCCACGGCAACGCCTATGGAGAGGGGCACACGGCAGCCCTGCTCCCCATCCAGCTCCGTGTAGCTTTTCATGTGCGGCTCCTCGCAGGCCATGTCGGGGCGTAACAGGCTGGTTCGGGATCTGTAGCCTTTGACAACACGGCTTCGCTCTTTGAGCCCACACCAAGTACCAGAAAACTCCTGAACGCACAGCCCCGAATCGGCCGAGCCTCAATGTGAGGGCTCGACACTACGTTGATGAAAATCTTGGTGCCCGCATCGTTGTCGCGCGTCTTCACGACCTCTCACAGTGACACTCCCTACCATCTGGACGATCGAGCGTCGAAGGCTGTGTCTCGCAGCTTGTGTGCTAAGGAAACCTGCGTAGCTGGGTTGCTTAGTCAATACAGTAACGGTGTTGCTGGCCAGGGTCAAAACACAGTTGGTGGCGGGAGCCAGACAAGCAGATGGCCACGAAGGCAAAACTTGCAAAGGTTGCTCATCTTTTCTTGAGAATCGGCGCAATTCGACTCGTGAAGACGCCGCGTGGATGCGGGCAGGACTGTACGGTATCAGAGGGGTTACACAGACATCCATCTTGCTTGCTTGCCTGCCTTCCTACCTACCTGTACCTACCGACCTACCTAACTGACCGACTGGCTTACTTTCTTGCTGACTCACTTACGGAGTTACGTGTTTACTTACTTAATTTACCTACTTAGTTCTTTCCTTGCTGACTTACTTTATGGCTACAAGTATACACTTTCTTGCTTGCTTGCTGCATTGCTCGATGCTTGCTTGATTGCTTGCCTGCCTACCGAGCTGTAACATACTCGGAGTGCGTGCTCTTCTAACTGCCCGAGGCCACGGCAAATCCAGCTTCCGGGCGGGTGGTGATGCCACCCTCCGGATCCACCTGTGCTGCAATCACCAGGATTGAACACCAGCTGCATCCCACATCTGGCGAGCGAGCCTGGTCGAGCATGGCACCACCGTCCATAGTTGGCGCAACGCCTGCGGGCACATGAAGACAAGGCATTCTCAAGACAACGGCCAAGGTCTGCGAGCGTATTGCGACCCTGTGCTCTCGCGACGCGCAAGGCTCCCCGAGACATCCATGCACAGGACAAAGGCACAAATAAGCGCTTGGTGCAAGTCCACAGCCGCGGGGGCTGCTCAGTCTTACACTCCTGCGTCTTCTCAAACTGGATGCCTTCGAGCGAACCCCAATCCAGAAGTCGCCCGTGCTCTGAGTTGGATATCGCAGATGCCTTCTGCTGAGAACCCAACGGACCTTCCTAGCTCACAGTATGCAGTGCCACAGGAAGCACCGCCCAGAATGAATCAGGCCTTTTCGCAAGCCCTGCCCGGAAACCGAATTGAGCCCTGACTTGGCTACCCTACAGTCCACCTTCTTGAAGCATCTGTTCGTAGCTTTGCAGGTACTCCTCCATGCTGCCTGGCTTCTGCCATGGGCTTTAGACTCAGAGCCTCTGAAAGCTGGGTTGGGTAGGGCTGTCGAGAGAAGGCAAGGGCACACCCCACCAAGTCCATGCTGCAGCCTCAGTTCTGTAAGCCGATAGTCACGTCTTGCAGGCCCTGCTTCTGCAAAGCCTCTGAACGATGTTGCTAAGAGCTGTTCTTGTCGTCGTTGTTTCGGGCGTTGCTGGCCCGCGGCTCGGCCCGAGCCGCTACAGCAATCCGATGACATGCTTGGCTTCTTGCAAAAAAGGCATCGGCCCGTCTCAGCAGATGATACTACAAGTCTGGCTCAAGCGCTCCATCTCCAAATCCCTGGCTTCTGGGCCCCTGAGGTGGGCCTCCACCCGCCAAGAGCTCCGCCAGCTTCTCTGGACTTCCGCCCAACGCCTGGCGTTTTCGAAGTTCTGCGCGGCTGCCACAGAGCAGGGCATCCTAGAAGTGTAAGCCTAAAGCATGTCAAGCATGTCCAAAGCTCCGCAGCAGCTTGGCAGGCAAGCTGAGGAGCCGAGGCAAAACACAGAATATACAATATGTAGTACAGGCTGTGTGCAGTGTGCAACAGCCATCTTTGAACACTCGGATTCCGTCAAGCGCAGCCAGGAGGGCGCTGGAGAGAAGTTCGGGATCCATGACGCCAGCATTGTCCTGGAGAGTCAGAGAGTGGCTAGGCCATGCCGCTACCAGGCTCCGGGAAGAGTCGGTCCTGTGCGACTTTCTGTCCCACGCTGTACAGCTCGTCCATGGCTTTCCGTCAGGGCCGGGCCCTCCATGCACGTCTTTGGGCTTCTTTGGGCTCAAGGGAGGCGCAACTAGCGGGGACCAGAACGCTGCGCCCGTTGAAGCCAATGTGTTCAAGGTGCAAGTTTGGAGTAGACAGAAGCTGCCAGCGCTGAAAAGTGTATAGCCCGGCCATGCCCAATGCATCAAATCAGGGCAATACTGCAGCATGTCAGCATGCCGCTAGTTGACCGAGTCACAGGGTCATCCGGGAACTTAGGCTGCTGTTTGTCACCGAATTTCAGCCAGCTTGCTCTCTCCGGTTACTATGCTCTGCTCTGCTGGAGCCTCGCATCATCTCGCATCGGGGTATGATCTGAGCAACAGTCTTCCTTCAGCCGTGGCATGGTCGTGCTGGCACATACGGATGCGTGCAAGACCAAGCCGTGGCTGCTTTTCTCTGGCGTGGCCTAGGCTTGCGGCTCAGGTGCACCTCAGCCGATGTCCAAAAGGATGCCGTGAGATGCTGAAATATGCAAATGTCTCGAGACTGCTCCAAATCGCCGGGTAAGCTCGAAGCCCAAACCGCAACCCAAATCACCATAGTGCCAGGCCATGAAACAACTAATAGCTAAAGATTCACTTCATCACCAGGCATGCACGATGTACCGTACTAAGTCTTCCGACCCCCTGCTTTGTTGCTGAGCCCCGTGCCAGGCGGGTGGCCCCCTGTCGCCCGAGTCGTCGAAGAGGACCTCGAGGCGCGACCTGGGCCGATGACCAGGGGACCGTAAGATTCAGGGTCCAGGGATGTCCAGGGCTCAGGTAGGGTTTAGGGATTTTTTTGGGGGGCTCTCGCGGCAATTTGGGACATGTAGGGTCAAAGGCTTGGCATGGGGCCCGACTGAAGTCGATAGTAGCGTAGGCAGCTCTTGAGGCAGGTGACGGGGGCGTCTGCTGCCGCCAGGCGCTTGGCCCACTCGTTCCCCGTAGCCTGCTTTGGGCAACGGCATGCAGGTTTGGACAGCTTCCTCGGAGCGACCATGATGTGGCCATTGGGCACCAGCTTCGATGACTAGTGACTAAGTGATGATGACATAAACGAATAAACGTTAGCCATCTTCCACCTGTGTAGTTGATGCAGAAGTCGGTACGACTCCTGCAGAAAGGCGAGCGTCTTCGCCTGTCCAAGGACTGCAGAAGCTCGTCGTCACGGTACTTCGGGGCGGGTTCCCATCTGGAAGCTGGCTGCGAGGAGCTCTGGGAATCTCTGCGCTCCCCATTTTTCGCAGCTCCCAAGGCGCCTGGCCGTTCTTCAGTTGCCGGCCAAAAGCCAATCCTCAGAACCAGGGAGCAAGACCCCGCACATATCTCCGAAAACCCAACTCCAAACCCGAAGCGCAAAAGCTTAAGCTCCCCAACCTTCAACCCTAAGCTCCCTGAACCCAAAACAACATGCACTGCTTAGATCACCCAGCTTCCCTTCTGCCTTGCCCTGGACCGAAACCCCAGCCCTGCCTGGTCCGTAGTTCCAGTCCAGCACCTTCTCGGGACGATTTAGGCTTACTTTTTTGTTAGAAGGGTTGCTTGGTAGGTCTTTTTGGCTCTTGTCCTCTGTCGATTGACGTTGAAATTTCGATGATCAGGCTTAGTGCTTTGGGGTTTAGTTTAGTTTCTCTTGATGGCCCCATTTCTTCTCGAGGCTGAGGCAGTGTTAGGCAATAGGGGTTTGGTGTTTAGGGTCCTTGTCTTACGCCTCTACCTCATTCAATTCAACGTTGTGTGTTGTTGGTGCAGGTCTAGTGTTGCATGTAGGTAGAATGCCATTCTGCGTTCACACCAGTTTGTGCCATCAAGTGTGTCTACAGCACGTGTCCGCATAAATGCATGGAAGATACACGGTGGATCAAGCGGGAGAGTTTTTGTTGGAGCTAGGGGTTTAGGTTCTATTCACAAGACTTGGTGTGACAATCGCCACGCTGCCAAACTGTCGGAACTATATGAAACATCCTCTGCCGTCTTCCCAAACTTTTGCTACTAGCAGCAGTGCTTGTGCAGATCCACGGCGGTGCCTTCGCGTCCACGCGCAGGGCCTCCGACTGCTCCAAGGCAAAGTCAACCCCTCGGTGTTGGTCAGGATGACAGAGACTGGAAAGCAAGGCTTAAGAATTAAGAAACAGACTCAAATCATCAAAGCGACTACGCTACTTGGCGCACGGTGCCCACTCCTCTTTGCGAGGGCACGTTCAGTGTAGTGGGCTTCGGGTTTGGGGGGGTCCAGGGTTGAACATTCACCACAGACATCAAACATGCCCCGAAGGGACGATAGTAGAAAACCTCAGTAGTTTCAAAGCTCAAAAACGACCTCCACCCTAGTCTGGCACTGGGGATGGGCTGCATCTTCGAGAAAATTGCTTGGCTAGCATAGTAGGATCTACATTTATATAATTCTTTGATACTGGCAGTTATAAATTATACTAAACTATAAATACCTTTTCACCAAACCGATGCAGAGCTGCGAAGGGCATCTCATGATGTTGCGTCTCCGTGCAGAAGCAAGCTTAGGCTTAGGGCCTTAGGTTCCAATCCGTCCGAATCCTTGAGTGTCAGACATCAGTAAACATAAGATCTGGAAAGCCTAACTCGAGTTGGGACATACGTATGCATGTGTGTGTGTGTGTGTGCATGTGTATCTGTATACAGAAATCTGCACAACCCTGAAACTTGGCCGAAGGCACCGAGGATTTCCCACGAATTCGGCGGATCAGTTGGCCTAGGAGGGCCAACGTGACTGGACCGAGGTTGGAGTTTTCCAAACACCTCTTCGGCCGACGGCGCGATTCTCACTCTTTGAATGTGACCCATCTGCTGTACCAGAGAACCCTTGCCCTTGCCCCCGAACCTCCGCCTGTCAAGAGAACCGGAATCATCACTGCTACCTCGTCCGCATGGCCAGCAGGCTAGGGAGCACATTTACAAGGATTGAGACTCTGGGTCGAAGCATTAGCGGAACTCTGCGTCCAGGGCACCAGGTCAGCCGTCCGCCAGTAGCAGCCCTGAATGCCTCCAGGACGACGGCCAAACCTGCTTAGGCACGGGTCGTGACTGGTTACAAGTTCTGGGCATGTATCCATGTGAAGACAGAAGACATGTGAGGTTGAACTTAAGCATGCATCAATGTGCGTCGTCACACACACATGACAATACACAGTTACATCGTATACCATACAAGCAGTTTTACAACCCGTAGATGCAGATTTATTCACGCATGGATGGATGGATGGACCATGCATGACGATCGTGTGCATGATTGTGCATGCATGTAACTGGATGATATGGCGACTTGTGACTATCAGCTGAAGTATTTTGCTCATTTGAGACCTTCTAGGGTCGCGAGTTGCACGAAATCTCTTCCTTCTCAAACGGAGAGCGTCTCAAGCACAGACTCCAGAGGAGCCCCGCCTCGCCGGACCTCAGACAAATACTGGCGTCTGCAAACGGCAAGCCCGGCAAGCATCCAAGAAGGCTTGGAACCTGGTCTCCTCTTGAAGTGACACTCACATGAAAATGGGGTCAGAAATTCAGAAATCAATCTCGAAAGAACCAGGTCTCCCCCTGCATCCAAGACACCTGGTTGTGAATCTGCATCCATAGCTCTTCTGCTGCTCTTTCGCCCACGAGACCCACCAACTCTTGGTATGGCAGGTCCTTCAATTGGGGTGACGGTTCTTTCGACGACAGGCACGAATTGGCGGAGATGTCTGCTAGCACTCTTCCAAAGGGCTGTGAGTGGACGCAGGGAAGCTAAGGCGAGATGTGGCAACAAGCTGGCGTCTTAGTAACTCATGTAGAGGCCTAAATATTTACAATTATTATTCCTCAGGGTTCCGTATTTTAATTATACTATAAAGGGGCCCACGAGCCTGCTCTAATTACTAAGGCCCCTACATTACCAGTGCATACAAAAACAGACGCAAGGAGAAGATGGATTGCCTTGCACATCCCGACCCGAAACAGAGATTTTCAGGAGCCTGCAAAGATATCCTTGCGGAGAAGAATGAACAAAGGTCTCTTAGGATTAGAAGGCATGGAGTCTGAACAGAAGAAGCAACGCCGCGAGGAGCCTCACGGAAGTCTGCATTGGGGTCCGTTCCAGGTGTGAGGAGTTCGATGTACTGTGTCTTCTTTTCATAGCTGCAAGTCTTCAAACTCGAACTTAGCCCCGCCAAGGCACCTCACGCTCTTGCGATGGGCCACTGAGCACCCATCCCTCAGGCAGAGGAACTGTGCCCCACTTGAAGAGAAGATTCCTGTCCCAAAAGACCTTCGGTCCAGGCTTTGTCGAGTTTGGGATCAAGACTGCAGAGCATGATCGCACGAGCTACTGGCCACTGGATGCGGCACGACTCTTGCTGCCAGGGCGCAATCAGCGGGTCTGCAGATGCAATCCTGATTCTGACCCAAAAAACCCACAAAAAACCCCGCGGTAAAAGGCTCGCAGGACATGACTCCTCGGATACTGCGGCCCCGTCTCAGCAAGTGTGCTCGGAGTTCCAGCTTTCGATTCTTCAGCTGCCAGCTCCGGACAAACCTGAAACAAAGAAAAAAACGACACAACAAAACAGGGATCCACAGGCAGGGCTTGGGTTTAGGGTTTAGGGGCCCTCTCCCAGCTTGTTAACTTCTACTACACCTCTGTCAGATCAGAGTGAGGAGAGATCTCGACTACTGAGACCTACTGCCGCGTGCTGACACGGTACGCAACAGAGAAAGCTGCAGCCAAGCGACTGCTGGACGATGATCGTATCCTGTCTTCGAAGTTGCTGTGCCGGTTGCAGCTCCAAAGGGTAGCTAAGTTATTTCTCAAGACATGCTCCCTCGAAACCTCTCCACGATGAGCAAAGCCCCGAGTCGTGACCAATAAAACACCACCACAAGACTCTCCTTCGAGAACATATCGCAGCATAACAGTGCCAGAACATAACAAACCATAACATAACAGCATCATAAAAATTTCTCAACATGGCAGCGTCATAACAGTTTCACGACATAAGATATGACAACAAGACCGTAAGGAAACAGCTTTTTTTTCACAGCTGCGGCCGAGGCACCCTTCGCTCACGCTCAGCGTCTGCCAGGGAAAGCACAACACACCGACTCACGCGCCGACCCATGTCTACGGCACACAGAATAAATTGGGGTTTAGGGTTCCCGGGGCTCAGGGTTTTAGGTATAATACACGTGTAACATGTAATACACGAGCGAAATATACGCAAACCTCCTTCTACGACACACATATTAATATACAGGTGACTCCACGGTGCAGCTGATGAGGGTACTGTAGAGGTAGGCATTACTTGAATCTTCACCGGCCACACCGGAGCCGCATGACAGAGGTGTCACAAGCTCACAAGATGTGCAATGGCCTTCTTTCAAGGAGTCACACATAGATGGACGGATGGGACTAAGCGAACCAACGAGTCGATAGACAATGGCATGGCCGTGCCGGGCCTGTGTCCATTCCGGTTAGGCTTCTTGGAAAGCTCTCTTGACAGGATGCCTGCCTTGGTGGCGCGAAGGGTGAGTGGCTTCCGTCATGCAGTTGGGGCAGCAGGTCGCGTCTAGTCAAGAGGACTCGCTCAACTTGCAGACCATGTTGCGTTAGTCCAAGCTGCCCAGTCAGGTTCCAAAGAGTCGTGCCGATCGCAAAGGCCTCCGGCGGCAGTTGAGGTGATCGTCAGGACATATCCCTGTCTACCCGAGGCTGCATGTCGTCCCGACGAAGGGACCCTTCCGATTTCTCGTAGCTGAGATGATTCGAGTCGGCTTGCAATCCGAAATCCTGCCAAGTGTCCATGTCAACAGGCTTCACCACGAGCTGTCGACGACCTGTCAGCACCAGGTCGAAGCAAGAGCGTACGATCTTCAAGGCGCATATCATGCCGATCCATGTCGATCTCACAAACCCAAATGCCAAAGTCCACTGCCTCGTTTCATCTCACAAGTCTACACGGTACAAGTACCTCTCCAACAAATTCCTGCACAGCGTGCAGGCCTGGTGGCCACTGCAAGATCTCCGTACAAATGTCAGCCAGGCTCTCAACCTTCCTCGAGGCGTTTGCAATCACCCAGGTCTTCACCAGCACTTCGGACCTCATGTTCAATTTCGCTGGCCTGCTTAACTTCACGGCGCGCCGACATGTCACTGAGCCTGCACCTGCCGACAGATTTGTGTACCGAGTGGCCCTGCGATTCTGCACGAGTCCCCGAAGGAGCCTCTGCACAGGAATCCACACAAACACTACACAAGAACAAAAGACATGCACATGACACTCCCACAGGCATGCGACTCTAGTAGGTTCACCGTGCCAAAGTGCGAGCTTGTATCGTGAATGACGATGGCCCTTCTGGGGGTGGTGCCCTCTACGCTACCACGAGGTGGCGAACCACATCATGGAACGAAATTGAACATGGCTACCAAAACGACTTGTTGAGATGCGGTCAGCCCAGTTTGCAGGCGAGCCTGTCCAGTTTGAGACCACCTGCCCAGCAGGCTTCAAGGATTCCCGCGGAATGCATCATTCCAAACATGCAAAAAGCAGGAAACAACGCGCAGCTGTCTGGCAGACAGAGGACCCACATGTCTTACCATGTGACTGCCAACCTGAGCCGCAATGCAGTTCAGTGGAAACTGCGTGCCTGAAATAGAAAACGCTTGTTCTCCAGGATGCGCAGCTTCATCAGGGATCCCCGGGGTACGATCCCATCGATGATCTCGGAGCGCCGCGGCACGGAACCCTGGTTGGGGCTCAAGGATTACTGTACGAAGAGCTCACACGAAGCTCCGCCAAAAGCATTCAACTTTCTCATATTGTGCTTGTGTGTCCATACGACAGCAACACGTACTTTGGGGGATTTGTCTTCCTGTGCGCGATGCTACGTGCATTCGGAGCATTCTTGTCAGTGTGCTGATTTTTGTGTTACACTGCCCCGTCGCCTTAGACTCAGCACCTAGTCGCAATCACATGGCCTCTTTGCACCAGAATCCGGCCTCCTTGCTCGCAGCTGCAGTAGCTTGTTGGTTCTCCTAGGGTGGCTAACCGGAACTCCCAGGCCCAGCGCCCGAATCTGTAGAAACCAAGGACAGCCCCAAACCGGTCCTTACGATGATCCCATGCCTCAGGCCGTGCAACATATTCCCCTTCCAAAACCCAAGTACTCTCAATACCGCCACTTCCTTACAACAAAGTCTTGTCTAATTACACCCCGTGCCCGAAACTCAGACCCCTCGGCGGCCAAACCCGAGCATAAACTTTCAACCGTAAACTGCGGGTAAGAGGGTTTATTTTTTTGCTGTCGTTGCTTTTTTGCTGTCGTTGCGGGGACGCGTTTATTTTTTGTGCTGTCGTTGCGGGGGCGCGTTTATTTTTTTGCTGTCGTCCCCGGGGGCGCGTTTATTTTTTTGCTGTCGTCGCAGGGGCACGTTTACTTTTGTGCTGTCGTCGCGGGCGCGCGGGGGGGGCGGGGGGGCGGTTATTTCTTGCTGTCGCTGCGGGAACCGGGGTTCACTCACTAAACCGGCTTCCTGGGTCCGTGCAACGACAACAAAAAACAACACAAAGCAACTACAGCAAAAAATTAACACGTTCCTGAACTGCGTCGCTGCATAGTTTACACTGCACACTGAATGTTATGCATTTTCATAATATATCATATTTTGTAATTTTGTGTATTCTTGTGTAATGTTATCTTATGTTATGTTATGTTATGTTATGTTATGTTAATGTTATGTTATGTTATGTTACAGCGCACTATGGCATAATATCAAGACAGAATGAAATATGACAATGATAAAACAAGCTGTAACAACTGTGTAATGTAGCATGGTGTAGAACTTATCGCATAGTATAACAGAAGATTCTAGTTACTCGTATAACGTAAGGCAACATGCCATAATGATTCAAATTATAATCTAAGATGACATAATGTAGCATAGCACAACATAATGTAGCATAGCACCACACAACAAAAACAAGACAACACAATACACGATAACATTACATTGCACAAACATGATACAACACAACATAGTGTACTGTAGGATGGAATAGTCCAGTATAGTAACATAAGATATAGACCAGTCTAATACAGTATGCTACTGAACATTATGTAATGTAAGAATTCTATGTTGTCCCAGTCATTCTACAGTTTTGTCGTCTATTTTGCTGCACAAATCGAGATACCCGGCAGCATTTGCCATGTAACACTGCGCACATCAGATACTATACATTGTCTTCATAATACATCGGAAAATGAGATTAATGATATATGTATATGTTATATGTTCTCGACTCTATATTGGATGCTATGTGCCATCGACCTTTGATCAAAGATGACATATCTTCTATTTTTCTAGCTGCCACGGAAGCACGAGACTTCGAACCCTGGACACGAAACCCTCAAACCTAAAACCCAAAACCGTTTCGCTCCTCGGTGGCCAGGTGGCCTCGCACCTCCAGGGACAGCCCCTCCCAGGCCTCAGCCGGGGCCTCCGCTGCGAGACCCAGCAGCTCGAACCTTCGCTAGTAGAGGGTTCTATAACAAGGTCCCCCTTAAAGGGTTCTCTGGGGGTCTCTATCGAGGCTGCCCTTAACAAAAGATAGGGTTTAGGGTGGTTATTCTTGCGTTACTGGGCTCCCCTTGGAAAAAAGGTGGGTTTTTTTTTTGGGGGGGGGGGATCTATCATTGCGTTGTTATAGGCATCCAAAGGACTAGTATTGGTATGCCCTATGTCAATTCATGGGGATGCTCTTGTTGAGAAGGTTTGCGGTCCACACTAGTTCAGTCCAGGGGCTTAGGGGATCGGCATTTCTAGCCTCCACAACCATAGAACCTGCGTAGCTTTCTGGCAGCTCGACCCATTGCCAAAGCATATTCCGTCGCCTGGCGATGATGTAACATAGGGGCCTGAAAATGAGCAATGCTGGTCCGAGGGCTTCCCGATAGAAACCCCCAAACTGGCCCCTATTGGCCTCGAAGTTACGCAAGACCAGCACCCTCCACAGCTGAGAAGCTCCAGCTCCTCTGAACAGGCGGCCTCCGTGCAAAGGTACAGAGTCAACCGTCGACCCTATGCAGATGCTTCCACTTACAAAAAGATTACGAAACGGCTTCTACAGGGATTTCTGGTAGACTGAGACGTGACTCCATGGGTGGTACCAAACCAGACCTTCACACGCCTTGCCTTCGGCTGATGCTCACCTCGGCAGGCACACACCTGCAGGAGATGGAGATGGAGCAAGAACCCACAGGGGCGCCATAACAGAGCGAGAACCGGATCGATTCACTAAACGAATCCGTTCTTGCAGCTTCTACCGAGCCACACCAAGCGATGAACCTCGACAAACAATGGGCAAAACTGCCACGCAGCACATCCTTTTTGATTTCAAAAGCCAACGCGAAATCGAGGCCATAAGAGGCCAGAGGCTGATCTGATTATTACTATTTACTATTGTTATCCGTATTACTATTATTATTGTTATTATTTTTTGTTCTGCATTATTCATTCTTACACCAGATATTACTGTTACGAGTATTACCATTTTTAATGACTGTTGGCCACCGGAGCAGCACCCCAGCAAACGCTGTCGTGGCAATCTCCGTTTCAAGAGACTGCATTCAAGTTCAGGTTTTAGGGTTTTTTAAGCCCAGCCGTTTCCAAAGCTTCTGTATCACAGGTTCCAGAGTTCCAAAACCATCCTGCGAGCAAGCCTGCAACCCGAAACCCCCCAAATCGGAAAAAATATCTCGAAAAATACCCAAGCGTCCTCAAACCCTTTAGACACGAGGCCTCATACACCCCAAACCTTCAACCCAAAATTGAACCCCGAAATTTCTCGGCTTTGAGCTGTGCCCTGGCCTCCGTGAGCAGCTCCCGGAGCTCCCGTGGTGAGGTCGGCACAGGGAATGCCCGGGCTGGCTCAGGCCGCAGCTCCTACACTAGGGAAAATGGAGCATCCGCAGAGTTTCATGATCGACACAGTCAATGCAGCTGCCACTCTAGAGTTCGTGCCGAAATCGGAGTTGCAGCTGCAGTGTTCAGTTTCTCGTTTTAAGAGTGTAGCTCTTGAAGGAGTGTTGGAAGATATCACCGACCCTGCAAAAACAGCACAGGCCCCACACCTCTAACCAAAGCTCCATACCCCCACATGTCCCCACCTCCCCCCCACCCCCTGGCCGAAGGCACCCGCAGCTGCGAGGCTACGTGCGGGTCTGCAGTCAGAGCGTCCCGGAGCCGCTGCTCTGACGCCTCAATGGGACAAGTCGGCTCTCACGCGCTGGTCAAGAATGAGATGCTGTTTGCAGGACGAGAGCAAACCTCCACTGACCTTGAAAAAGGGATGCACGACTAAATTAGCGAGTCGAACGATACGAGCCTTGTGCCAGCCCTCGTGCTTTCGCTCCGTTTGCGAAACCCTCAGAACAGGACAGCGCTTTGGTCAGGGCACGGCCAGGTCTCCGCGTTTCCAAAGGACCACCTTGGAAGGCTGCACAGCAGACACGGCACAAATTGATCTTGATGGCAATCACTTGCTTCAGGCGATGAAGCCCAGCTACCAACACAACCCCTCGCATTTGTTGGTTGCAAAGTAGATGCAAGATTTCAACAAGCCAAGAAATAGGACAAGCTGCAGACAGGGTGTAAAGGATGTAGGCATCCGGGACAGCCGTCAGGCCCCGGGTTAGATACCACTCGGCCTCTGCGTACCTGGAGCACTGCAGCGACTGCAAGTTCTCTCGGGATCTGTCCTGCAAGGTCAGAGCCCCAATCGACCGATCATCTCGCACCTTCCTCCCTCAAACACACTGCAAGAAACCGAATATCGTTTCCAGTTTAAGGGCATCTTGTACTGCTGCCCGAAAAGCTGTTCGCTTCCTTCTCTCAACTTCAACTTCACCCCCCCAGCTGCTAAGCCAAAGCCAAACCCTCAACCGCAAACCTGCAAGGCACCAAGAAGGCCCCCTGAACCCTAAACCCCCTAAAGCCCCCCAACCAAAAACCCTTCAAGCCCCCCCACCCCCCTTGTCCGCTTGCTTTTTTAACGGGACGCCTCCCGAGCTGCGTCAGCAGCGCCCCGAAGTCGCCGGCGGCCTGTGGAAGCAGCTCGGGCCTCGGCTCGCAGAGTTTTTTTTTTTGTTTGGCCTTTTGGGGCGCAGGCGGTGTTTAAGGCTTTTTTGGGGATGCCTCTAAGCCCTGATTTTCGGATACTTTGGGGGGGTGAAATCACAGATGTCATACTTAGAACAGGGTGTAGGGGGTATGTTCTCGTAATGAATGGGGACTGTAAAGGCAAATTTATTATGATTACCAAGTACATCCCCTCATAGGTTCTGAAATACACCCCCAAGACCCTCTTCTATGAAAGGAGCTGCAGCAAAGCCTTTGCTTTTTGGACTTCAGTTTCGGAGACGTTTCTACAACGGCAACGGACCCCAAGCCCGAAGCCGGAGACGGAAGGCTTCTGCATAGTGCCGCGCCGCCGTCTCTGGGTCCTGCGCGCAACTGCTCTTACGAAAGAGGATTAAGAATCTAGAATCTAGCTCTTTCGAAAAAGCTTGACGACGCGTTTCGACCCTGTGGCTTGTCAGCCAAATGTTGTCAAGAAAAGCTTGCACAAGCAGTCAAAGGGGGTGAAAGCACGGCCAGGCCACCAAAGCTGCAAGTCCATGCCGGGCTTTCGGGTTGTTGTCAGCAAGCTGGGCGAAGTTTGAATGCATGGAAAGCTGCAGCAAAAGCTTGCAGCCCTGGTTACTTTATGTACGACTTAGGGAGTGTTACACGCAATACAGTAAGAGAACCGGTTTCTGGTTTCTCTGGTCACAGACTCCCTAACCACTGCACGTGGCTGCGCATGGGCAAGACAAGGTGCCATGTGGGAGCATCCATAGGAACATGCCGCTACGCATGACGGTCCAAAATTCTCTTTCGACTCAAGGTGCCACGAACATGTGCAGCCGGAAGCTCAAGGGTTCGGGCTGGGGTTTGAGAATCAGAGGCATGCTAGGCACATTAGCATCCACTGTAGCGCCAGGACACGGAACAACAAACCCACCACACGACCTTCATCACCGTCACATGCCGTCACCATCATCATCGTCGTCGTCGCGCACCTCGTGCTTGTCCTATACACTCTTCTGCCTCTACCTCAGTCGCCTGAAAGCTTCCGTTATGTTCTGCTGCAAACAGTGGACCCTTGCAAAAGCAAGCAGTTGACACATGCCTTATGCCAAGAAACAAGAGACAGCGTTTCCCACGATGCTCCGCAGTCCTGCAACTCCTTGCGCGATCACAGGCTGAAGAAGCTAGGGCCAGCGGCGCAGCTGGGGGGTGGGGTATAGTGGCGGGTTGCATGACACACAAACCTGCCAATGTCGTCAGCAAGGACAATGCAGCACAAATGCAACATCAAGGGCATCAAGGCCTTCTGCGGAAGGCCTGTGGAGATCAGGATTCAAAGGTTTTGAGTTTCGAGATACGGCAGATCTACAAGCTTCAGCCCCAAGGAAAGAACCGCTCTCGACCTCACGGGCACTCCGGGCTCACGTCCAGGCGCCTGCGAAAGAACCGCCAGGTTGAAGCGCAGTGATGCGTCGCCGGGCTTCACGCTCAGAGCCGCCTGTGGAGTTGAGCCCAATCTGAGCACAGAAGCCTGGCATAGAAGCCAAGTAAGAGCCCTTAAGAAGTCCTAGCGCAGAAAAAAGGCCGTGGGACATGGATGCCTCAACCGCTCGTCCAAAACAATCAAGGAATTTTACCACAGCCCCCAAAACCCAAGGAATTTTACCATTGCACCCAAAACCCTACAGTAAGCCCCTTTTAAAGGGAGAGATCCCAAGGTGCCTGGTAGATCTTCGCAGACTCGGCCACGGCCCCACGGTCGTAAAGACTGCTCCCAAGCTTCCTTTGCTGAGTCTCCTACTCTATTGTATTAGATTATATACTATACTGTATCATAGTATAAAACATTGTATTGTAATATAGTTCAGTATATTCTACTATGATGTTATTATCCTATAAGATATCTTGTCATAGTATGGTGCTTTCTATACTGGAGCATAATATACTCGAGTAGAGTATGCAGAGTATACTATACTACTATAGCTGTTCTAGTATGCTAGCCAACCGTGGATTCGTGTATTACACAAGGGGCATGTCTTGGCTTCCGAGTTGATACTTCTTTTCGGCATTCTGCTTCCGGCGACGTGTCCGAAGCCTTGCAGGAGAGCCGCTTGTAAAGGTCGATGCGCGATGGATCAGCGCGAATTCCGTTGATGTACTCGATCTGTGCAGAGGGTTACTGTACAGGCTACGGCTAAGGGCCACAAATACTATCAGTGTTGTATATTGCTATAAGACTACGTAGAGGGTGTGAAGCTGCAGTGGAGCGAACCGCAGTTCAATACACATTGGTTCCCACGACCAGGACTGCTCCCGCTGAACACTGCAAACGTAAAGCCCCAAAGTTGAAACATTTCGGGCCTCTAGCGGGGTCTGGGTCTCCGGAGACCCTGCCAGGCACAGGAAGAGGCCGAGCCTCCAAGAGATATCACAAACATCGTCCGTAGGTTTTGGCTTCTGTATGGGAGTTCGGGCAGCGTTTTCGGGGGGTTTAGGCTGCACAGGGTTTGAGGGTGCTCAAAAGCTATCGCAACTGATTGCCTAGTGTTGGTCTTGACGAGGATGGGTATGATCAGTGAATGAAAACCTATGGGTTTTGCACGATTCGATACCTGCCACGACTTCCACGCTGGCGTTGTTCGTATGATGTTGAACTGATGATGCTGAGCTTCATCAAGACCAGTGTAGTCGTCAGTGCATGTCCTTACTGCCACCACCACCAACACGACGACTACTACGACGACGACGACGACGAGGAGCACAACTACTCCGACTACTGTCACTCCTACGCTTGCTCCTGCTGCCACTACAACCATCATCATCATCATCATCATCATCATCATCAACATCAACAGCATCAACATCATCGTCTGTGTCGTCGTCATCACCACCACCGGCATGCACATGGCTACTACTCTGGGCTGGTTCGACCGCAACCATCTGTTTTTGGCGACAACGATGGACGGCTCTGGGGTTTTCTAGCTTTAGGACTCGTGGGCCGGCTTTGCTGTGCTTCGCTCGACTGCGGCAAAGTCACGGTGCCCATGCACGGCCGCGCATCTTCAGGCGATGTCACTAGAAGTGCTGCCGTCACTGCTGCGGATGGATGTGATCCCCTTGCCGAAGAAAGCCGATTACACTTGAACACCTCGTCCGTGATCCATGGAGCGTGCTTGGTTGAACGGCCGGCCGAGCCCTCTTGGCTGCGAAAAAATGACAAAGGCGCATCGAAGAACGATGGGCATGGTCGCTACAGACTCTTCGAAGGCTATTTACCAGTGCATCCGGCATCTCCTGCGACACTTCTCATCGCACTTTTGTTGACCCCGGGCCCCAGTCGATCTCAGGATAGTGCAATGCTGATCGCCAAACCAAACCTGAGCTAACCTTCAAGTTGTCGTAGCGCCAGGCACCCATGACACATTGCATGGTGCTGACTGAGGCAGTGATTCATACTCCCATCTGTGTCTGGGGTACCCAAGCCTACTCTTGATACAGCTTGGAGCTGTCCACCCCATCAGTTGCTTGTCAACTGCGCACATTATCAGGAAAGCTCGCTGCTTTGAGCAAGCTTGTGCTGAGCTACCATCAAAGGCAGGTCGGGAAATCTGCACAGCCTGCAAGCGGCAGAACGCTTTTGGAATGCCCGGGCACGGTCACATCTTTCCCTTGGCGGCAATGAGCACCTTGCACACTTCAGTTGTCGGGTCATAAGGGCAGGGCGCTGTCAAACACACAAGTGGGGAGGATATTGAGGTCTGTTTGAAAGGCTCTGGAAATGTTCACATTCCGGCCCCTTCACCGAAATCCTGATAATCCTGAGGCTTCCGTGGCCCAGTGGCCCACACCGCCACAGCATCCTCCGGCTGTTGGACCACTCTCGCGCGGACAGCGAAAGCCGTGGTGGCAGGCGAAGCCAGGACCTGCGGTGAGCAGGTGAGCATGCCTACCGGGTTCGCACAGGGCAACGACAAGGAAGTCTCCGGCCACAACCGCGGTCGGAAGGCTTTCTGTTCTGCGCCGGGGAATTCGGAGTAAGCTGGTTTAGCAACGCAGTGCCTGTACAAAGAGCTTGTGCTGCAGGTTCGCACGCCTTCGGCGTTTGGACCCGTCAGCAGGTGATGAGCGTTGCTTGGCCGGAGACGGGCCAAACACATAAAATGTCCAGCGGAGGCGCTGGATCAGGTTTGCCAGGGAAGGACTTCGAAGAAGCGCTTTGCTGACGAGCTCCGAAGAGCCAAAAATGGTGAATTGTGCAAAGGTCCGGCTG